CACAATGGGCAGGAAGAGCAGGGGCTAGGTCAGAGGAAGGATTTAAGGGGGTGGGGGGAGGAGCCACAGGAGAACCAGGGCCCACTCTCTCTCATCTTCCCCGGTCTCACCAGTGTCCCCCAGGGTCAGGGCAGTGCACAGAACCAGGAACCCCATGGTCACAGCAGTGTCCAGGTGGTGAGCTTGTAGCTGGGGAGCCTTTAAAAACTCTCAGGGCCCAGGGCCCTGCCCCTACCCATCCTGCTGGGGGCTGGACAGCCTCCCATCAGCTGTGGAAGGGGCGGGAGCATGAGCAACTGTTGTCCTAAGGGCTCTGGGCACCTTGGACATAGTCCCAGGGGCTGGGGCCTGTGGCAGCGAGTAGAGGCTGATGGGGACTAGAAACAAGGAGTGGGAGAATCACTGATCCTGCTCCAATGCCTGCCGTGCCGAAGCCTCGTGTAAAGCCTTTGTTCCCCAAGTCCAAGTGCACCCTGATAGCAGCAGTGGGCCTCTGAGAATCTCTGACCCAGAAGCACTCTCAGGGAACATGTCAGCACCTCAGCTCCCTGCTCCCCGCGCCTGCAGATGAGAGCTTCCCTCCTCAAGCCTGGGATTCCACTTACATAGCGTAACATCTTGGGGTGCCAGTTACCCACCCTCCCATCCCCCTCATATCCAGAGATATAAATGGAGTCCACAGGTCTCCCAGAACAAGTGCCCTAGTTTCTCAAAGCCTAGTGTCTTCTGAACGCTTTTGGTGTCCCCGTGATTCCCCACTCCTCCTCCCGTAGATCTGCACACTCATGTCGCCGTCCTTCAAACGGTGGGGTTCCCTGCCCGTCTAGGTCAAGAACATTCCCGTCTAGGTTTCCCAGCGAGCCAAACCACGATCAGGTGCATTCTGTGACCTTGAAGGTCAAGGTCAGTCAAGTACGTGTGTTGCGCAAGCCCTCTTGAGAGTCTTGAAAGACTCTCAAGTCTTGAGGACTCACGTGGGCCGACCCCAGCCATGGTCTTTCCTACCGCCTCCTACGCACGCACGTGAAAGTTAGACACTGAATACGGGAGGCCACAGAATGATGCACTCGAATGGCGGTGCGGAGAAGGTCATGGAAGGTCACCAGGAACAGCTACCGGGACAACCTGATCTGCTTGGGAAGAAGTACGGCCAGCGTGCTCCTTGGAGGCCAAGTGGGAAGCAGAAAGATTTCTCCCAAGTTGTCTCCCCCAAATAGATGCCAAACCTAGCTGCTTGCTACACATGGGAAATGACTATACACTTGGAGGTCAACAAAAGTGGGTCCGAGGTTATTCCCCCTAAGGGTTATCAGCCATCCAGAGCAGTCAGACTGTGTAGTCTGTACCAACCTTCGTAGGACCCACTCCCTTCTGATAAGGATAGTAGTAGATTGGTTCCCTGTAGGAGAGCCCAGGGAGGTCAAGCCCACTCAAGGGTGACCAAGATTAGGCCGCCATCGTGAATCTAGGGTCCGCCCTTCTTGTCACATGTATACCTCTACTTCCACCCCTTCCTATCATGTGTACACCCCTAACTCATCCCCTTCCTGTTACGCTTAAGCCCATTGTATATCCCTTCCTATTGCTTGTATTGCCTATTGTACAACCCCTTCCTGTGACGTATGTCCTTACCTGTAATTAGGGGGCATGCATGCCCCTAAAGATATATGAGCCTTGGTTAGCAATAAATCACCCTCTCTCCTGCCCTCTCATCTCCCACCTCCATGTGTACCACCATGAGCTGAGGTGAGCATGCTACCATGATATGTGTCTGACTCCTTTATTTCACTCTTCTATCTCTGATTCTCTATGATTTTACTGTAACCTTTACTTATTGTCGTTGTACAGTTGCGCCTGCCGGGCTGGACCTGTGAGGATTTGTTAGGGGCTGGCTCCCCTGACAGCAAGGATGGCGAGACTTCGTCTTATATACTCTGGACGTGTCAGGAGATACCAGTCCCTAGGGAAGAAACATCGTGCTTGGTGAAGTCGAGGGGCAGCAAAAGATAGGAAGGCCACCTCTCTTTTTGGATGAGCACTGTGGCTGCAACCATGGGCTCAAGTATAGGACCAAGGGTGAGGATGGCGCAGGACTGGACATTGGGTCATTCTGTCGTGCGTGGGGTTGCTATGGGCCGGAGCCGGCCCCTAACTGCAACAACAACAGCAACAAAGAGAATCAGGAACTCGATAGATCCCCGGTGGGTGCAAAAGTGAACCCCTAGAGGTCCAACACATGGTCATGGCCATTCAGTACACTCAGAGCAGCTCACCTGGGGTCAGGCTCTGCTGTGTAGCAGGAGCCTGATGAGATCTTTCCCCTCCTGGCTGAGGACAGAAGGCCAATGACTACTGTACCACGGCCATGCCCAAGAACCCCTGGTGGCGCAACCGTTCCACACTCTGCTGCCAACCAGATGGTTGGTGGTTGGAATCCACCCAGAAGCCCCCCATAGACATGCCGCTGAGACCACCCTGTGGCGCCATTCTGCTCTCGTCCCCTGGGGTCCTTCTGAGTCACGATGAACACCACCAGGAAGTCCAAAAATACTTTGCGAAGACCAAGAAGTCCCTCTTGGTCATCTTGGTGTGCTGGGTCCATCCGTTCCCTGGGCATCCAGAGACACAGAACGTACCCAGTGCACGGCATTATTCAGGAGCACTGGTGGCACAGTGGATTAAGCACAGGGCTGCTCCCCTTACGGTCTGCAGTTCAAACCCACCAGCTGCACCGCAGGAGAGAAAGGAGGCTTTCCACTGGCATTGAGAGTCTTAGTCTCAGAAACCCACTGGGGGCACTTCAACCCTGCCCTGTAGGGTCTTGATGACTCGAACCAACTTGATGGCAGTGAGTTTGGGGACATGGCTTCCGATCCGTACTGATGACACGACCTCGTTTAGCCTCTTGACAACTCCATGGGGCAAATGCTCGTTTTACACACGAGGAGGAGACTGGGTCTCAATGGCTCAAGATCACAATGTGTCGTGTTGGAGATACAAGGCTCTGCCTGAAGCCCTTTCTCCTTGTCTAGCGGTCAGAACAGCAGGTGTCAAGGAACACCCACTGTAAGGTATAAGGCGGAACACCCAGTGTAAGGTGGTACTGGGCTCGCCCTATGGCTTTCCCCTGCCCAGGCTCTAGTTCCCAGCCATCGCCCTCCATCCACGGAAGAAAGTGACAGAAAGGTCTCTACAGAGACTTGGATGCACACACTCTTATTTCAGAGCTTTGACAGGTGAGCTTGAGCACCAGCTCTGGCCTCAGAAGGGCCAAGTCCTCGGCTAAGACTGAGCCTTGGACAGGGTCTTGGGGAATAGTCTGATTCGGTCCCAGGTCAGGAGAGGGCTGCCAGCCGGCCACTGGTGCTGCTGTGGCTCCATCCGTCGGCCACCTCGGTCAGTTCCTTTTCATGGTTTCTCTGATCCACTTGAGGTATTGGCAGACCTTGGTGTATACTCCGGGCTTGCTGGTGGTGTCACAGGGGACATCACCCCAGGACACAATGCCCTGCAAGAATCCCCCACAGACCAAGGGTCCCCCGGAGTCACCCTGTGGAGAGAAGTGGGGGCCTCCACTGGAGTTAACACTCCCTGATTGTGTTGGCCTGCTCCCATGCACAACCACCACCCAAACCCAGTCCAGCCCCAACTCAACCCATTAAGCCCATGCCATGCTGCCTCAGCTCAACTCAATCCAATGCCCAAGTCACGCTAACCCAGATCAACACTCAATCCAGTAACCCCATGCCATGCTACCTCAACTCAACTCAATCCAACGCCCAAGTCATGCTAATACAGATCACTGGACTCCATACAAGTCACTGACCCTGTAAGTGGGCATCGCCTGGATGGAGGTCCATTCATTCCAAGCCAACAGAAGTCCACCCAACCCCATCCTGCCCTTCCAAAATCTGACCAAACCCATGCCCGTCCTCAAATCCAATTCAACCCAACCCTTACCTCCAGGTCTTCTAATGAAACCCATCCTCAGTTCAACACCCACTCACTCTAACCCAGATGTTCTCAACCTTCCTCATGCCGAGACCCTTTAAGACAGTTCCTCATGTGTTTCCCATCCAAACTCCTCCTCGCGCTCACCCCTAACCCATGCCCTCTCACTCTCACCCCCAACCCCCAGATAACTCAACCCAAACCCTATCCAACTGGACCCTCCACTCTCCAGCTTCCCGCGCTTCCCACTTCATCCCCAGACCTATTCCTGGCATACTTCACAGTGCAAGGCATACCAAATCCAGCCTCCCCTGAACGCCAGACCTTTCCCCATCCCTCTGCCCCCCACTCCTCCACCCGAGAGCCCCCCCCACCCCCACCCCTTGCTCGTCTCTGACCTCACAGGAGTCTGTTCCTCCACCCTCCACACCTGCACACACCATGGTGGTCATCACCCTTCCCGGGTAGTCCTTGTCACAAGAGGCGTCCGAGATGATGCTGATGTTGGCGCAGTGCAGCGTATCTGGGAGGCTGACTGAGGAGGACAGTGGCCTGGGTACAAGGGCCAGGGCAGGCCCTGCCTCCCTCCCCCCAGAAGCCCTGGAGACGAGAGCTCCTCAAGGGGCCACATCCAGTCCCTCTCATGCACCCACCTTGTGACTCAGGGCTGCCCTTGGTCCCGGACTCATTGTTCGACACCAGCCCCCAGCCAGACACCACGCAGGCCTGGCCCGGGCGGGGACAGCGCCAGGGTAAGGGCACAGGACGCACATTCTGGGTGAGCCGCACCGGCCGGGCCAGCTTCAGCAGCATGATGTCATTCCGGTGGCTGTGCGCTTCGTGGCCCGGGTGCGCGATGATGCGCGACACCACGCGCAGTTGTTCCGGGCCTTCGTGTTTGCGCAGGTTGTGCTCGCCCAGCCGCACGCGTATGGAGCTGTCGGGCAGCGAGCCAGTCCCCCGCAAGTGACGCAAGAGAAAGGACCCAAAGGTCGGACAATGGGCGATGGGCCCCTCCCCACCCCAACATTTGAGAACGTGGAGACTCCATGACCCACTCCGAAGACCTTGGGACCAAGACCCCTGACCAAAGCCCCCCACAGATCCGGCACCCGTTCTTCCTGAGAAACCAGGAGCCTCAGACCCCTAGATCCTTCAACCACTTCAGAACCTCAGGAGAAGGGCTGTTACTTCCCTTTCTCTCCCAGAAACCTCCTTACCCAGGGGCTGGGATCCCAGCCTCTTGCTCCTTCAGAAACCAAAAGACTGGGCCCCCTCCAACCCTCAATCCAGACACCCACCACCCCCACCCGCTTCCACCCCTTGCATCTCCAAGAGTCCCGACCCCCAAGTCCCCGTCCCTCAACCCCTGGACAGAACCCTTACCGGCTCTGGCAGTGCGCTGCAGACAGCACCCACTGTGGTGAGATGAGGGACGCCCCACAGTTGAAGCGCCCTTTCTCAAAGAGGGCCACTTGCCAAGGCTGGGAGTGGGGTACACACTCCTCCCCCTTCAGGACCTTCTCAGCATCCTGGGCCCCTGGGAGGGAAGATGGGGTCCCTGGGGACAGGGGTCTTTCCCTGCCCCTGTGCCCCATCCCTTCGACGTGTTCTTCACTTAGAACTTTCCTCCAATGTCCCGGATGTCCCGAATGGTTTTTCAAGTACTGCCCTATAACTTGGACGAGTGCTGCTTATTTTCTCCAGAGCTTCCCACCTAGACCCCCACCCCAACCTCTTCTCCTATGGGCCCTGGGAGAGAGTGTGGGGGGGTGTGACAGGAAGGACCAAGGTTGAGCTGTCCTCCGTGCGGGGGGTGGAGTCAGGAACACTGGGTACAGGTTCAGACAAGTGATCAATTGACACCAGCCATTCGAATTAACCAGCTTGTCACAGATGCCAAACGAATGTGGTCACTCGATTTCCACACCGTGTGGTTTTGGCCTCAGAACCTGGACAAGTCGGCCAAGCGCAGTGTGTCCTATGGGGATGGGTGTAGCCATGCAAGGTCACGGGTATCCTTGCCCACACATGCCCCAGTGGGTCTTCAAGCTGAGGCAGGGATGTGGACAGAGCACTTAGTGCTGAGTTCACATGCATGTGTGAGGGTTGCCTCTTCAAGAGTCGCAGCACAGATGTCCGTATGCACATGGACAGTAAGGCGTGGGAACTCACACACACACACACACACACACATTTGGATATAGCTCAGACCTACAATCAGTCTCCAGTACGGGTCTGACGTCTAGGGTCATACACTTGCACACAGGGCCTGGATGGACAACCTGGAGTCTATAATAGGGACACGCGGGCCAGAGACCCACCCCCTGTGCACTCAGTCCCCCAAAGACTTATGCACAGACCCAGCTCTATGGGGTCAGGTCTCCATCCAACGTGGCGCGCCCTGACGCCAGACACATTTGCGGTGAGACTCAGAGCAAATTGTTTGAATTCTCTGTGCCTCTGTTTTCTCATCTGTAAGATGGGTGTCGTAAGGATTCCACTGGAGTATATACGTGCATGTGTATTCATCACCATGGGTTATATAGGTCTATGGTGCATGGAAAGGGGGCTACAAAAATGCTGTGAGAAAGTGCAATGGAAGATCATGGAAAATTTCCAGAGATCCTGGGAAGTCCCCTTCCTCCCCCCCAACCCCACAGAGTGTGTATGTTGTGGTTGTTAGCTGCCATCGGATTGCTTCTGGGGATGTATTACAGAGGAGACCTTCCATTGGGTTTTCAGGCCGATCGCCAGGCAGGTTTTCCATGGCACCTGTAGGTGGGTCCCACCTGCCAAACTCAAACATTTACCTGTTTAAGCCACGTGGGAACTTTATATATAACGTTTTAATACTTTACATTATCATAATATTTCATAGCATTTACATATTTTATATTATATCATTTGTAGATCTTATAATACAGCAGCAGTATACTATATCTCTATATTTCAAAACAAAAAATTTTAAATTAACATTTTAAACTAAAAGTATATACTATACTAATATAAAACCTATCATTATAATGTAAAATATATAACTATATGTATCATTATATATTGAATATTCTTATAGCTGTATATGATATCATTATGATATATATTACACACACACAAGAAACTGTTGGGGTGCTGTGGCATAATGCCCAATGCTTACCCCCAGCAGTCAAACCCCCTAGTTGCTTACTCCCCTGCCCCTCAGGAGACAACCCGGGGCCGCCTGTCCCGCTACCGATTTCACCTCTGGCGCCCTCAATAGGGCCGGATGGCACGTGTAGAAACCCCAAGCCAAGCCCATGGCCATCGAGTGAATTCCAACTTCTAACCAGCCTGTGCAGCTATAAATCTTTGTGGGAGCGGACGGCTCTGTCTTCCTCCTGAGAGACTGTGAGTGTATTGGGGTGGGGGGGGTGAACCACTAAACCTTCATGAGCCCAACACCTAGCCCTGGGCACCACTAAGGCCTCTTTCATCCACACACACGACCCTACAAAATTTGGTGCTCTAACAAGGCCATGGGATTTTTCGTGACAGTCCCAAGAACTTTTTGAAGCCCCCTCTCAGACATCATGTCCGTGTTGAGTTGGGGGTGATTGAGTCCATCCCAAACTCACAGGGTCCCCGAGTGACAGAGAAGAATCGCTCCATAGGGGTCTTAATCTGGACACTCCTCTTTGTAGTAGTGGATAGGCCAGCTCTTTTGCCCGTGGAACAACCCCTGGGTGGTTTGAACCCCCAACCTTGCAGTTGGCAGCAGAGTCCTGACCTGCTGCACCCACTGCATTGACTCCCTTCCAACTCATGGCGAGCCCAGAGCACAGGACAGAACGGCCCCCTGGGGTTCCCAAGGCTCCAACCCTCTTCATGGAAGCAGCCGGGGGTCGTCCTTCCCTCGCCCACTTCGCCGTCAGCTGCCAACCGGCTTCACAGAGCCCCATGGCTGCTTCTGGATAGCAAGCCCAAGAGACCATACGGCCCAGCTGCACGGTCACACGGGGTCGCTATGAGTCAGGAACAACAGCAGCATCTCACAGCAACAGGGGGTCAGAGGGGTGGTGGCCAAGGCCCCTCACCTCATGGGGCGCCACATTTGGGGACACCCTGTTCACACACAAACACCACTGCACTATGGACAAGGACACGGGCAGTGTGGCTTCTCCTCCTCCAGGACACACACACACACACACACACACACACACACACACACACACACAGGATCATTTCGGCTTCGCCTGACCCAGTGTTCACGCTCCATCCCCACAACTGGGAGTTGGGACCAGAGCCTGAGGGAGGTGGTGGCAGGAGGAGGGATGTGGTGGAGGGGGGGTTAACAAAGGAAGGGTGAGGGTGGCTACGGAGGCTGCCCCAGGCCAATCCAAACTGGGGGTGGGCAGAGGCGCATTAGTGCAGCAGACAGGCAGGGGCAGAGAGAGCCACTGGGCAGGCTGGCGGCAGGGGGTGGTGAAGGTCCAGGGGTTGTACCTCCTGTGACTCAATGTGGTCTCTGGAGTCCCCTCCACCAAGGCGACCTTGACTGAGTGGCCACCACTCCCTGAGCCCCAGCCTGCTCTCTGTCCTGGGAGCTCAGCGCACCCCCCAACCCCGGCCGCCCCCCGCTCCAACACACACCATGGGCACGTGCTCATCACAGGACCGCTGAGCACGCAGACCAGCCAGACGCTGCTGTGGGTGGACTTGCTGTTGCTGTTGGACGCCCTTGGTGTGACAGAGGGGAACTGTGCCAGGGCCTCGCTAGGTGCCCTGGTAGCAAGTGGCTAATCATGAGACTGCTAACCTCAAGATCAGCTGTTCAAAACCTCCAACCATTCCTCTGGAGAGAGATGGGACTTTCTACTCCCGCCAAGTGTTCCAGTCTCTGAGACCCGCAGGAGTAGGTCTACCCTGTCCTGCAGGGTTGCCTACAGTTGGAGTGGCCTTTGGTTGAGTTTGGAGTCTGTACAGCTTGTGGGCACGTCTGCCTGTCACGTGGGGCTGCCATGAGTTAGAACCCCCTGGCCAGCACCCACCTCTACACCAACACTGGGCTTTCCCTGCATGATGCCCCCGGAGCCTCATGGAAATGGTTGCAGGAGCTGCTGTCTTCTAGGGCAGGCCCTGAGGGCCCAGAGAGGTGGGGTCAGTCCCTGAGGGTCACACAGTGGGGAGCGAGCTGGGGCTCAGGGCCATATGACCCCCAGGCCCTGCTCATGGTCCCAGGCCCAGGCCCCATGTGGACTCCAGGTCAGCCCAGGCCCTGCAGGTGGCTCTCCTGCAGGGAGGTGACTCAGAAACACCAGCAGGTGACTTGGGTGGAGTGTGGGGACTGAGGGAGGGACTGGTGTGTGGGGGGAATCCCAAAGGTGGGGAGCGGGGCTGCCACATTTCCACCTGTCCCACCTCACCTGCAGACGCCAGCAAGACTGAGAAGGCGAGGAGCAGCCACATGGTGGAGGAGGGGCCAGGGATGAGCTGATGTCTGGGGGAGGGACAGGAGTGAGGTACACAAGCTGGACCCCACCTCCCACCAGGGTCTCATCTCTCAGGATACTCAAGAGACTTCCCATCTCCACCCTGGTCCCCGCCTCCCTCCAAAGCCAGCCTGTGCTCCCTGGCTCTGCACCTGGTGAGGACCCACCGTTCCCCCCAGACCCAGAGGCCCCCCAGTCTGTCAGCCCCATCCTCCCTGGACCTCCTCTCACTCTGAGGTCCACCTCAGGCCACATCTCTCTCTGGGCTCTATCCCAGCCTCCTCCCCGCTCTCCCTGCCCCAGTCTGCCCTCCGCTCTGGCCCCCATCTTCCAGCCCATTCACCTCAGAGGATCTTTCTCCTCTAGAGCCCATGCTCAGACCCCGGTGGCCCCCGGAACCCCTCCCCTCCCCCGGAGGAAGCTCAGCTCCTCAGTCTCACTTTGGAGGGCAGAAGAGACTTCCCCCCAACACCACCGCCCTCTTTCCCTGGGACGCCTACAGCTCTATCTTCCTCAGCACAACCCCTTCCCCTCCCCCAAACCTCAGCAAAGACCCCAAGTCCATGGCCATCGGGGACACCCGGAGTCACAGGGCAGCACTGCTCCCGCAGGTCGAGTCAGCTGGGCTGTCATTTAACAGAAGTTGGCAGCCTGGCCCTTCTCCCTCAGCAGTGGGGCCTCTGTTGGCAGGGCAGCCCTGGGACAGGCCAGTGAGAGGCCAGGGCTCCTGGATACAGCCAGTCCTGCGCCCTCCCTCCTCAGGCTGTTCCTCCTCACAGACTCAGCGTGCCCCGCACAGCCCACTTCTCCCGAGGCCTGCGCCGCCCTCCCGGCCCCTCTGGGGTGAGCTCTTCACAGCTTCGGACTCCCCCACAGGATGGGGCTCCTGGGCTGCTCCCCAGGGACTCCCATGGGAGGGAGGTGGGGGGTGGGGTGGATGACAGTCTCCCTTCGATCCCTCAAGTGCTGAACCTGCATTTCTCCCCAGGACTCAGTCCCCACGCCCTGGGGAGCACACGGAGGGGTCCCTTCTGGTCCCTCAGCGCCCCCTCTGCCTTTGTGCAGCTCAAAAACAACCCCAAAAGAATTCCCCTGACTCAGAGCAACCCTATAGAACAGGGTAGGACTCCCCCTGTGGCCCCTGTGGGTGTCCGACAGTGACTGTTGTAGGAGTAGAGAGCCCTGTCTTTCTCCTGCATCACAGCTCAGATCCCCAGAATCCCCCGGTCTGGGAAGCCCCCTCCAGCCCCCATGGACCCCCTCCTGCAGGGCAGGGCTGGGTGGGGTCCTCGCTGTGTCTCAACAGTGCCCAGACACGGAGGCCTGGCTCCTTAGAGGTAGAAGAACTGCTGAAACCTGAGGTTCCACCTGACCTGGCTCCTGGCTCTGGGTAGGCAGGCTGGAGGGGATGTCCTCCCAGTGCCGTCCACCCCTCTCCCACCCCTCCAGCAGCTCCTTCTGGTTAACCTGGGGTCTTAGTCCAGGGTACATGGCCCCATCTCCTGCCCTTGACATTCAACTCCTCCAGGGGAAGAGTGCCGTGCCACCTTCCAGAGAAGGATGACCCCAGTCCCTTCTCCCCCAGGCCAGGGTGGCTCCTGTGCCCATGAGACCAGGGAAGACCACGTCCCCCAACACTAGGCAGAGCCACTCTTCCCTGAAGACCACGAGCCTCGTGGTTCTGCCCTCCCCTTGCCCCACTCCTCTCCAGCATCTCACCCCTCCAGATCCTCCAGCAGTATCTGTGGCAGCTTGGACGCCAGAAGGGGAGCAGGTAACCATAGGTGTGAATTTATAAGCTCCCAGCCCCACCCAGGCTCAGGGTGTGGGGCGGGCTGGGGGTGGGGGTGGGGGGGCTGAGAGTCCAGTTTACAGGCCAGGACGCCTTGGTGACTGGTGGGGTGGGGGACCATCCCTAATGGGCATTTACAAGGCTGGAGCTATTGTTTGAGTCCACTCAGAGGAGTTCCCAGATTTTAGGGGGGGGGGGGGAGGGGAGGAGGACTGCCCCCTGGGAGAGGCGGCAAGAGGGCCCAGCTGGGAATTGGACATCAAAGTCAGAGCCAAGAGTCAGAAGCTGATCCCCGGGAACTTGGGATCTGCACGTGGAGGCTCGGTTCCAGGAGCATGCTTTTCTCCAGCCTGGAGTCAGAATCAGGACCTGGAATGCTGGGATGCGGGACTCTGGAGTTTGGCATGGGAGCCCTGAAGTCTGAAGTGTGGATTTGTGAGTCTTGAGTTCTCTCGGGGCTGAGGACCTGAATCCGGACCGTGGAGGCTGGACTTTGAATGGCAGGAGTACTGGTTGGATTCTGGAACCCGGATCTTTGAATCGAGTTGGGACAGGATTCTGCTTATCTGGTGTTTGGAATCTCAGGCCAAAAATCCAAAGATTTTATACCTATTTTTGGAAGCCTTGGGCACGGGGGTTTGGTGACTGCAGATTTGGGAGTTTGAGTGTTGACAGCTGGGCTCTAGAGTCTGGGTCTAGCCTTTAAGGTCTCATTCATTGGCCGACTGTACAGCATAACGTCTACAGTTGTATATCTGCCTTGTGCAATGAAGACATTCTATCCTGAGACCTAGTCTCAGTTCTGGAACGTGGATTTAGAATCGGGAGCTTGGAGTCTCTCTTCTGGATCCGACCGATGACGGCCCGGATTCTGGGGCTTGGGATCTGGATTCTGCATTCCAGGAGCTGGAAGTCATTCATAAGATGACAAGAGGTGTTGGGAATGTGAAGCGAGGTTCCCGTGTCGCAGAACTAGAGAGGCTCCTGAGCGATCGTCTACATCCCACCCTGGATTGTGTAACAAACCATAGAGCGCAAGAAGGAGTGAACTTCAAGTCACGCAAAGAAGGGACGTGATGGACATGGCTCCTCTCCCTGTCTTGAAAGCCCTCTGGGGATGATGGTCTTGGAGAGCCAGTGGCTAATGCCCACGGTCCTCCCATTCCACCACAGACAATACATGTGTGTGTGGAGGGGGGCGGGAAGAGGTGGCATCTCAGTCTCCAGGTATCTTTCCACATTCTAGAACCACACCATCTGAGCAACTCCAGAACCCTCAGCGTCCCAGTCGCTCTAGAATGACAAGCTCTCTGGAATAGCCTCTAGACCAGTGGTTCTCAACCTTCCTCACGCCGCGACCCTTTCAGACAGTGCCTCATGTGGTGGTGACCCCCAACCATAACATTATCTTCATGGCTACTGCATACCTGTCATTTGTTACTGTTATGAATTGGGTGACCCCTGTGAAAGGGTCGTTCGTCCTCCAAAGGGGTCCCGACCCACAGGTTGAGAACCGCTCACTGCTCTAGACCTTAGAATTTCAGACTCCACAACACATTCTAGTAGTACGGGTCCTCAGACTCTTCCGAATGGAAGATTTAAAAATAGTTTAGAATCACACATCCTGAGGCATTCTAGAACCCTAGCTCCCCTGCTAATCTAGAACCCCCTACCCCCAGCTTTCGGAAACACTAGAACTTTGGCTCATCAGCCGTTCTAGCAACCCAGGCTGTTAGCCATTCTGAACCTCAGGTCCGAAGAGACTCTCGAACTCCCTGGTCTCTGCAGACCTCCCCTGGGATCCAGCATCACCTGGTCGGGTGCCGTTTACGGAGCCTCCTGTCAACCGTGTGAGGGGGTCGGTGTCCCTTCCTCCGCCATAGTGAGGAAACGGAAGGTCACAGAAGGGCACACCGCCACCCAGAGGCGGAGAGGAGAGGAACCCTGTACCCCCATGCTGGGTCTGTGTGTGCAGACGGGGCTGCCTAAGTCTCCCCTCCATGTGTAAGGAGATGATGCTGGGGAGAGCAGGCGAGGTTGGGGGGCTACTCATGACAGCAGCTGGCATGTCAGGAGAGTTCCACAGTCGTGCAAAGACCCCTGCACTTGGCTACTAACTGAAAGGGTGATGTGTGTGTGGGAGGGGTGGGGTTCAAGTCCACCTGGAGGATCCTTGGAAGAAAGGCTGTCTTTCACTTCATAGTGAAAACACTCTGACGCACGGTGCACCGGTGACCCTCAGGAGGCCACTGTGTGTGCAGACGGGGCTGCCTAAGTCTCCCCT